CAGTCTTACCTTTCATTAGTAGTTAAGCCTTAATGACCCTAGACTGAGGTTAGGACAAGTGGTTTCGTAACTTGACTTACATGCTCACAAGCACATATCTCATTATTTCAAGCATACTTGCTCATGGACTTACGCAGTCTCGGTCAGGGCTTTCTCTTGGGTCATTAGGCCTTGATGATGAGAGCCTGACATTAGCCTTTTGATAACTCTGATTTAGGACCGGTATTGCGTATAGACGCAAACACATACACACACTCGAGCAAAAGTAGCAGGACCAGTATGAAAGATAATTAGCTAAACCAGTCTATATCTATCTATCTAGGTTTTTAATTTGCTTTTAGCTCAATTGAGTCTATATAAGTGGTATGATAGAGCCGGACAGTCTTCTTGACCTAGTGCTAATGTTAGACTTTTAAAGGAATGAGACCCAGCTCTGATGATGTCCATCATTTGATGGACGAAAGCTCAGCCCGTTTTCACTCGAAACGAGGGAGATCTGGTGGACTGCGTCAACATGAACGTCGGCCAAACAACTGCACAGTACCACGGGATTCATCCGTCCTCTTCTGATGAGATCGTCCTACGAATCTCTTATTCATGCATTTTCATACCAAATGAAAGTCCCCCCAACGAAACTCGTTATGTTTTATCCTTACCGCCATTTCCTGATTGGCTAAATCTCGATTGATCGCAATGAACAGAAAAAAGCTCTAATGACTCCAGCAACTTGACTATTAACGAGCTTAACATTCACGTAGTCTCACCACGTGAAGAACTGAGCCAATCAGGGAAAATGGTTAGAGCGTCAGAGCCTGGGAACGACGTTATAAAGTAGATATACATACATACCTACATACATACATACAAGCAGACAAACAGAAATGCGCACATACAAACAGTCAGCCAGCCACCCAGCCAGTCAACCAGCATGCCAGACATTCAGACAGCCAACCAGACAGCCAGTCAGCCTGCTTACATGCCAGGCCGTTTCGTTGTCTACTTGTATGTATTTCGGCCAAAGCCCATTTACGTAAGTGTCCGTCTGTCTGTCCTTATGTCCTTCTGTCTTTCTGTCCTTCTGCATGTATGTCCTGCGTGTATGTCTGTCATTTCTCTCCATCTGTCTGTATGATTGTCTATCTGTATGTTTGTCTGTCTGTTGTATGTATGTTCGCTCATGTGTATATCTGCCTGACTAATTAAACAATCATAGCTGCACAGTAAATAAATAAATAAAAATAAGCATGCATTCATATATGAGCAGAGTAACATTGATACATTTAATTAAAACGTGGAAGTTGCGACAAAGGTTTGATGAATACGAATTTTCAATAGGGGGTTGTTGTTTCACGTAGTTATGCTTTAACAATCAAACAGGCAAGATACTTTGGGGTTAGAATGAAGAGACGCTAGGCAAGGTGGACGAAATCCATCAGTATTCTTAAGTCTAGGCTTCGAATGATATCCGTCCGTCCTGTGAACCAAGCGCATTCGTGGCAATTTGGCGTAGTCGTTAACGTGTCGAGATTACACTCTACACTGTCATGGTTCGACTCCCGTTGGGAGTATTGATAAGACCTAGGCAAGGTCAAAACTGCGGTCCACCATGGATAGGAACTCCTTTCGGGAAAGCAAGGATATGTGAAATTCAACGAAAACGTCAGCTCTACTGAAATGATTGCAAGAAAATTCAGCTACCCGTCCTTCATCACCTTAAACGAAATACGGTGAAGACAACTCATGTATCGAAGGAAAGCACTTGTGTATGGACCAAGTGTAGTGTTGGAAGGGCAGACTGCAACACACTTTTTACTGCTGCCTATTTTCCATAGTACCCTCAACAAAATCTGCGCACTACTCACAAGTAAGTGTCGCTCCTTGTGGTAGTCCTGATGACTCAGATCAACCACTACGTGTCCAACCATCTTTCTCCCAGTAAAACCTCTGCTTCTACCAGCCTTGACGACAAAGCCGATTGAGAAGCGAGTCTCCAGAGGACGTGGGTGATGCGGTAGGGCTCTGATTTCATAATGGTCCTTAGTGCAATCCCATCCTACGGAGCGTCTTCAGGCTTCACGTCCGAATGGACAGAGTGCGTCACGACCGAGAGTCCCCATTCCCGAAGACTGGTGTTCTCAAATGGCTCACGAAGAATGATGATCTCAGTCCCGCTGCCGGAGACCATTTGGCCAATTTGTTCTGCCCTCGGAGATCGCGCCCTCTGATCGGGCCTGGGATGCTGTTAACTTGTTCACATGCAGAAGTGACAATCTTTCTTATCTCTCGCATGAAATCTTAATGATTAGTAATTATCACGGATATTATAAAAGTGTATAATCGCGTCTGCAGTGGTTCTAGCTATGCTTGGGGAATCCATCTCATCAGGAAATGCCTCCGGAATGTGGCGGACAATTTGAGACTGGTCAAGAAGTGGCAATATAAAAAACGGCATCGCTACTTCTTACAGGCTATTAAGATGGCTTAGTAGGCCTAACAATCAAAACAAAATGTCACAGGCGAAGCCCAGCTCGTTTAGTCGTACAGTGTTTATGAAGAGATATACTACTCGAATTTTTCAAGTAGAAGAGGTCACCTTGCCACTCGGAACTATTGATGGCGTTGCTCACTGATGGAAATGGTTAACAGCTCGATTATAGAAGAACAGTTGAGACCACGCTCTTCGAAGCCTCATTAACAACGGAAATAAGTTGTGAAAAAGACGGCAAACCAAAAATGAGCTCAAAAGTGAGACCATGAGCAAGCCCGCAACCACATCACTTTGAACTTCGTATCTAAGCTTTGTACGGACCTTTTCATCAAATATTTTTTTGATCCACCGTCGATCGCTCTAAGCGTAATTTGATTCCCTCCGATGGGACACCGGAGAGCAATCCCATCTGTAGATTGAAATTAGATTGGTAAACGCGTAACTGCTTTCGCAAATTCGAACAATCACTGAACTACCAATCAAAGAAAATAAATGCAAGGGTCAATTTTATTCCGAGTTAGCTATAAGATGCTCGGGAATGGATATGTGCATCAGACTGTCACAAGTGTCTTAGGGTCACAGGGCAGATATGAATTTCAAAGAAGGCCAGGCATTTTTTCATATTAAATTTTGTGATGGGATTGTCGATGAAACAAAATTGAATTTGCTATATCAATAGATTAGATCACTCATTTTTCTTTTGTGATATGGGAAAATGCCTGGTCTTCCTTGAAATGCACATCTGCCCTGTGAGCAAAGGGCACTAGTGGCAATGTGGCGTAGTGATTAACGTGTCAAGATTATACGATTCAGTGTCATGTCTATGCGAAATTCAGTAGAAACGTAAGTCTACTCATATCATTGTGGGAAAATGCAACTTCCAATCCTTCATTACCTTAACTAAATAGGCTGAATAAATCTCACATAACGATAGATTGTTAAAGGCGATATAATAAATGATAAAAAATGAGTAAAATAAGACAAGAAAATCACT